ACTTGTTGGCTGTTGCCCATTTCTACCTACCACCGCTATCCCGATGGGAGCTACGAGGTCACTTAGCTATGGTATGAGATCCAGCAGAACCTTCTCCCAACAATTCGAGTTATTGGGAGCAACTGGTTCTTGACGTGGTATCAGAGCCTAAAACCGAAAGGTCATGTGTTCGAATCTCCACGACCCCCAATATTAACAGTTTATTAAAGCACAAGGTATGGTGGGTCTGTGCAAACTTCAAGCCCATGGGTTGGCTTTCGTTTGAGGGGGCGTGTAAGAGTATGGTACAAGATCCAGCAGAACCTTCTTCCAACAACTCGAGTTATTGGGATTATTACTAGGAAATCGTTCCATCATGGATTTAAGGAAAATCCATCATTTGTTTGTATTTCATTTAGGGACCAAACCCGTGGAGTCCACGGATTTTAAGGGTCCAAATCTGTGGACCCCACGGACTTGTAAATCCCACATATTGATGTGAGATTTGTAACATGTCATAAATCCATGATGCGATTTTACCCATATACTCTCATGAACTTTTAAAATTCCAAGATTACCATCACATTTACCTATTGTACAATATAAATAATTACTTAACAACAAATAAATAATATAAGTATTCAATTAATGTACAAACATGAGTTAGATTTTTATACCCTTTCTTGTGTTCTAGTTTCCTTTGGCCTTTTCATGAAACTTGTAATTCTTTGTTCCCCGGTTCTAATATATATTGCTATATGTTACTTTTGAAAAGGAGGACAAAGAATTGATAACCGATACATGTTACGTTAAAACTTAGAATTTTCCCGTTTATTATTATTGTCCTTGTGACAACATTATGCTTATTAGTACGTATCATAAACATGACAAACAAATAGAAAAGGATAGTATGGTAATTTTGGTCATGGATTTGGTACTTAAAAACCAAGCATCATGGACTTTGTACACAATCCGTCGTTTGCTTGATGGGTTTAGGAGGAATAAATTCGTGGGCCCCACGGACTTGAGAATTCCACCCCAAGAGGTGGGATTTGTGTTGGGGCCGGGGGTACAAAGTCCATGATGACTTTTTACAATTTTAACCCTACTTATTTCACTAATCACCTACTCATCATCTTTCATTTACTAATTACCAACTTGAAGTGCATATTAACTATGCATTCAATATTTATTGGGTTAATACTATAGCTTGGCCCGAAGTTTAACATAAGTGACAGTTTTGATCTCATTTTTCAAATAAGACATTTGTGGCCTACTTTTGAAATAATTGTACAAATTTGGCCCGACGTTTGAGCTAACCGTTAAAACTGACGGTCAAACATTCTCGCCATTAATGACTCAGCAATTTTGCTGATGTGGCTGGGCCATGTCATTAAATAATGACTTATTTACTTTTTCTGAAAAAAATTGAAAAAAAATGAAACAAAGCAACAAATTAAAAAAAAAATCGAAGACCTCAAGCAAAATCCCTAATCTTCTTCTCTTCTCTCCTAACTAGGGATGACAATTTCGACCTGACCCGATTTACCCGACCTGTTTGACCTGTTTTGGGGCGGGTCAAACCCGCCCCGTAGGCGGGGCGGGGCGGGCATGGGTATATCTCATCGACCCGACCTGCCCTGACCCGCCCCATTCTCGACCCGTTCTTGCCTAAATTACATATAATCTTAGTCAAATTACTTAAGATTTTCCTCTTATTACATTATATTTTAGCTATAATAAAGTTGTAAATAAGTGAAAACCTCAATTTCTTCAATAATTTAATTACATTTTATCATATTATGGTTTCTTTCTTGGTCTTTCAATGAAAAAACGAATATTTCTAATGTTTTTCACATAAATTACATACCCATCGGGTCGACCTGCCCCGACCCGCGCCCCGTGATAAATTACCCGACCTGGACCCGACTTGCCATGGGCCGGGTATGGGTATCGAGATACCCGCCCCGGACCTGCCTCATTGCCGTTCCTACTCCTAACACTCCAAAAGGCCCACGATTCAGACTCTTGCGTCCTCCTCCGACAAGGTAATCAAAGAACAAGGGAGGAGGAAGACCAATATCATCTTGTCGACGGTGGTGTTTAAGCAAGCGGGGACCCCAACGACGATGACGATTGACTATTGAAGATGACAAGATGCAGGGGCCACCGGTGGGAAGAAGGTGCAGCTGAGCTTATTTGCATCGACGGTGGCGATTGACGATGGAAGATGACTATTGACGACGATGATGGAGCTCGATTGTCTTTCTTCTTGCTCTGGGTCCGCAGAGGAAGGAATCGGGATTATGGAGGGTTCTGGGTTGGAAGTACATAAACCAGAAGAACAAATTGGTTATAAACCCGAGAACAGGTCCTCTGAAATCGCGTATGAGGCGAGCCACCGTGAGATCTGAAGCTACATCGCCGCCGCAACATCTGAAGCTACGTCACCGCGAGATCTGAAGCTACATCATCTCTACTTCGTCATCTCTAACTAATACACCTTCCTTTTTCAACTCCAGATCTCGTCCCTTTTTTATTCCTGCCGTTCAAACTTCTTTCGCAAAGTATTCAAGTCGAGAACCCAAGAATTCGGCGGTCGCACTTGACTGCTTGTTCAAGATCTGAGAACGGAGAACGATTAAGGAAAGGTGAATTTTTTTTATTGAAATTGATTCGGATTCTTCAAATGTGTATTATTGAAAGTAGAGAATGAATGGAACATGAGAACTAGGGGGAAAGTAATTAAGTAAAGGCAAAATCAGTTTCAGGTAGGTAGGGGTGTTCAAATGGTTATCATGGTTATAACCAAACCAAATAAAGCTAAATTCCATTAACCATGGAATACAATGTCATAACCAAACCATCCAAACTAATACAACAACCAAATTAACCAAACTAAAGTTTAATTAGTTTGGTTAATTGGTTAACCAGATTAACTAATATAAAATCACATTATCATTGACGATGAAAATTTTCAGGTTAATGCAACAATTCGCAATTTATATAATGAATATAACATAATAATCAACACGTAGTTATAGTTGACCCTTAACAAAAATACATGCAACTAATACAATTATCTTACGATTAGTATAGAAGTATTCACCTAACAAAAATTTATGACAATGGTATGGGTTAATGAATTGTTGTGTTTGTGTAAATTGACTTAGTCTCTTAGCAATTATCATAGGCTGGAAATGACCTTCCTTTCAAGTTTTCATCTATCATAATGTATGAAATTTATCTAAATTAGGCGTCCATATGTTGTGGTCTACATTTTACATATACAAATATACACTATATGAGCAATATTGAGCTTTATATGTTAGATATATGACTAATTACTTAACTGGTTAATTTGGTTTGACTGGTTAGGAGTGTCTGAAACCAAACCAAACCACCTAAACCAAATAAGCTAAAAACTTTAACCAAACCAAACCAATTATCCAAATTAACCAAACCCAATTATCCAAATAGTACCGGTTAAAACGACTACCATGGTAACCAAACCATTTGAACACCCCTAGTTTCAGGGAATAAGAAATAGAAGCGGCGAAGGGATGGTTGATGATTGGAGGGTTTTGTTGGGGAAGAGGATTAGGTCCATAATGAAATTTTATATTTTAAATATTTTAATAATTAATACAATTTGACATTACAATAAATTAGACATGTAAAAAAATCTGGCGGACATAAGTTTTTTTTATTTATAAATGACGTGGAAGACATGTCACCACTAAATGCTGAGTCATGGGTGTAATAAAAGGTTGATCGTCAAATTTAATGGTCAACCTAAAATTCGGGTCAAATTTGTTCAATAATTTCAAAAGTGGGTCATAAATGTCTTATTTGAAAATTGAGGTCAGAACTGTCACTTACGCTTAACTTCGGGCCAAACTGGGATATTAACTCATATTTATTATTATTCATTGCTCGAAAGCACTATATGATTAATCGCAAAACATACTTTGTAATATTGAAAACCTTAAGGAATTGTCTAATTGTGTGTATAATATGATGTTGTTATTGATTAATGATGTTCATTTATTCCGATTGTGGTAGTGGGACGAATCTATTGGATGAAACTTGTTTTAAACAAAATTTATATAATCTAAATATAAATAATACTCAATAAGGGCACTAAGGTAAATTCCTAATACAAGCACAAATATAATAATGCCAAATCCATCATGAAATCCAACAAGCAAACAATGGTTTGTACCAAAAACAAAATGAGGCAATTCCATCATATATCCATGGTTTTGTAAAACCCAGGTTTTAACCAAAACCTTTGGTGTCGTTTGCTTGTTGGATTTGGGTCATGGATTTGGTACCCAAATTTTAAGTTTGATGGATTTAACATAAGTCCATTGTTTGTTGAAGGGTGCTAAATCCGTGGGGACCACGGATTTGGTCTTTATTTTGGAACCAAATCCGTGGACCCCACGAACTTCTAAATCCCACATATTGATTTGGGATTTGCAAATCCTTGATGGTTAGTTATTTATTTAACAAATCCATCACAAATCCATCATCAAATCTATCATGCAAACATTAGACTCTTCAAAACCATAATCCAATAAATCCAACATAAATCCCAAGGTTTTTATTGGCCAAAACCCTCATTTTTCAAATCCAACAAGCAAACGACCCCTTTATTTTTCAAATCCACTTAAGGAACCAAACTCTTAAATCTATGATAAAATATCTCAACAAACAAATAATTGTTAAAAATCTATAATGCTTCAAATCCTTGATAAATCTTTGAATTTTTAAATTACAAAACCCTCATTTTTAACTCTATGAAACAAATAATCGTATGTCCGAGGATTTTTTTTTTCATAGACCGAGGAAATTAGTCTGGGCTTCATTACATTTTTAGCCCATTTACTTCTTATCAAAATGATTGGGCCTGGTTTATTTGATTTATTTATTATTATCAGCCCAGCCCGCTTTCAAGTAGTAATCGTCGTTCCCAGCGAATTCTGTTCCGTTTCTGAGAGCCTTCGCTCAGTTCTTATCGCAGGGCTTTTAGCTTTTCATTCCATTCATAGTCGGCCATCAATTCCAAATTACCAACAAGAAGTTACCAGAATCATGCAGGCGATTCCCAAAGGGAAACCAAATTGCTTCATGGAGAGCAGAGAAGGAAAGAACGCAAGAAGTGGGTTTGTTCCGCCTGATATTTGCCGCGTTCGCACCGCCGAAGAGGCGAATAAGAAGGGATTGCCTTTGTTAGAGAAGCTGGGAGATAGTAGAATTGAGTTGGGAAGCTATTCCCCCGCATTCTATGGTGGAGGTTTAACGACGACTCATCGGAATAATCATCCGGCACCGAGCTGAAGTTAAACACAAGTTTGCATGAGATCGTGTACTTAAAGGTCAGTGAGCTGGGCACAGTAAAAAGAACAAGGGTTTCACGCTTCATTTTCTCCGTTCTAATTTGGGTTTCTTTGTGGAATTATGTTAAGTGATCTGGAATGAAATGAAGCCCTTAATGTCAAGTTCCCTTATTACACTTTAATGGTCATTTTTAGTAGGCTAACTACTCTGGTAGACTGTCTCTAATTTTCTACCCATATTCTTTTTGGCTTTTAGTCGTCCTTTTCTAATTACTACTCGCTTCATGACTAATGTAAACTGATTTGGAAGCTTCATCACCAAAATAAAGCCCACAAAACTTGAAAAGAAATGGTAAAAAAATTCAAAAGTAAACATAAACGGAGTGATTAGTGAAGGTTCTTTTTTTTTTTTTTTTTTGCTTTTGTGGGGGCAGAATATCCCTTTGCTCAAATATCGTTGACTTTCTTGATGCATTGTTCTGCATTTAAATTTAGATAGGTAGATGGCTTTATAAAGTGGAAGTGCTCCCACTCAAGTTGATGGGTTTATCTGTGTTTATGTCTTTCCCAGCACCAATTCAGTAACAGTGGCCTTCTCTTGGCGAAACTGAAATATGCATCGATCTTGCAGCAAGCCAGCGTAGCAAATTGTAAGTTAAATCTTTAAATGTTTAATCCAAATAGGCCGTTAACAGTATGAAGTGCGTGCCTTCTGCTTAAAGAATGTTCCAGTAATTGTATGAGAATTGAGAAGTGATTATGTCCATCTCCATTCTTATATCCAAAAAAGTGTTTACTGCTGCCAAAATGTTTAACAAGTAACTGGGTTTTGGGTGTATACTTTCTTAACAGTTGTGTATTTCATCTAGCCATTCAGTATGGGAAGTTAGAGTTTTGATCATACCTTCTGTGTCGTTAATTTCATTATAAGGTTTCTAATTCTAACTTCTAGTAATTGACACCAGTTCTTTCCTGTGAATAATCAGTTGCTGACCACTTTCTTGCTCCACTAGGAATCAGGACGAGTGGATCCATGATTAGATGGATTCGTTTATCTGTTATGATCACCATTCTATCATCAGAGGTCATCCAGGAAGCTTCTGTTGTGCTTATCAGCTTGTGAAACAGTAGAGTATCTATTCACTTCAGTGCACACTGAGAGAAGGCTGATGCGTATTCAAACTAAGGTTGATGAAAATGTCCCTGTCTCCATGGCTCGCATTATGTTGTACTCGTGCCTGTCAGTTCCCTGATGAATCAAGTTCTATTTTGGTCGCAATTGAATGGCTGGAATTTATAGTCTTGTCTCCCTGCTACCAGCGCGTCCTGCTTTCAGCCATCGATTTTATCTTCTTATTCACCATTCTAATCTCTTCCATCAAACGTCTCTGCCTAAGGTTCAGTTCCAATAGCAATTACAATTCTTCCACCAATAAACCTCTTCTTGAAGAGGAAAGGTCTTATGTCAAACTCACCCTTTGGTTCAAACTATCTCTATTTGCTGTGCTTCTGTTGGCTATATGCAGCACAACGTCTCTTTGCCTCTTGGCTATCAGACAAAGTTCCAGCTCATCATGGAAGATCACAGAGCCTGTGTTTAGAACCACCCAAGTAGTAACCTATATGGTAGTTCTAATTCTGATTGGACATGAGAAGAAAGTTGGAGCAGTTACTCATCCTTTGTCCTTGAGAATTTATTGGATTGCCAATTGCATTATCATGAGCCTATGTTCTCTGTCAGCCATTATCCGATTCTTTTCTTTCAACCAAGGAATTGATCCTGACCTTAAGATGGATGATATGTTCTCTTTGGCCAGCTTTCCTTTGTATATTTTCCTATGTGTAGTTGCTTTCCGGAGGTCTTCTGGTATAATCCTGATTAGGGAGCGGGTTAAAAATTCTAAAAAATTGGAGTCCAATATCAGTGACTTTGCTTCAGCTTCTTGGTTTTCTAAAGTTGTGTGGCTTTGGATGAATCCGATATTGACTAAAGGACATAAAAATCCTCTGAAGTTGGATGATGTACCAACCCTTCCTCTTGATCACCGAGCTGAAAGAATGTCAGAACTCTTCGAAACTTATTGGCCTCAACCACAGGAGGATTTGAAGCATCTAGTGGGAGTCACATTACTCAAGTGCTTCTGGAAGGAACTTGTTTTCACCGGCTTCCTAGCAGTGGTTAAGTCAATAGCATTGTATATTGGTCCTGTCCTCATTCAAGGTTTCGTTGATGTGACAGCTGGACAGGGAAGCTCAGCATACGAAGGATACTATCTGCTTTGTATTCTCCTGATTTCGAAAACAATTGAAGTCCTTAGTACCCACCATTTCGATTTTCATTCTGGAAAACATGGGATGTTAATAAGATCAAGCCTCATGACTACTGTGTTCAAGAAAGGTCTTCGATTATCATGTTCCTCTAGGCAAGCTAATGGGGTTGGAAAGATTGTGAACCACATGGCTGTAGACGCTGACCAGGTGGCTGAAATGATGTCAAACGTGCATGACATATGGTTAATGCCATTACATATTGCTCTTGCTTTAGTCCTGGTCTATGCTTACATGGGAGTCTCCACATTTGCAGCATTAGTTGCAGTTGTTGCAGCTTTAACTTATTCTGTGATGAGTACCCATAAGACTAACAGTTACATGAACAGTGTGATGGAAGCCCGTGATGCCAGGATGCGAGCGACAAATGAGATGCTTAACAATATGCGTGCAATCAAGTTCCAAGGTTGGGAAGAGCATTTTAGCAAGAAAGTCCAATCTTCTAGGGACCAAGAGTGTAGTTGGCTTATCAGGTTCATGAACACTTCATCGGTTACCCTGGCTGTGATATTTAATGCTCCTTATGTGATATCAGCTCTCACTTTATCAGCTGCAATATTGTTAGGCCTCACCCTTGATGCAGGGACGGTATTCACATTAATAACACTGTTAGGAGTATTAGAAGAGCCGATTCGCACCTTTCCAGATGCGTTAATCTCCTTCTCCCAGGCAATAATTTCTCTTGAAAGGTTAGACCTTTACCTGACTAGTTCAGACTTGGATGGATCAGTGGAAAGAGAAGAAGAATGCAGTGATAATTCTAGTGTGAAGGTTCAACAGGGTAATTTTTCTTGGGATGATAATGGTGATGAGAAAATATTGATTGATATAAATTTGGGAATCCAAAAAGGGGAGCTTGTAGCAATTGTTGGGACTGTAGGATCGGGAAAGTCTTCCTTATTGGCTTCAATTCTTGGTGAAATGCACAAAATCACAGGGACGGTTAGTATCTCATAGTTTTATATCACGAAAAAAGGTTTTGGTATTTCCTTACCAACCAGTTGCTGGATTGCTTTTCTGCAGGTCTTGGTCAGTGGCACTACTGGGTATGTGGCACAAACTCCATGGATCCAGCATTGTACAATTGAAGAAAACATATTGTTTGGTTTGCCAATGGATAGAGAAAGATATCAGGAAGTGTTGAGAGTTTGTTGCTTAGAGAAGGACTTGGAAATGATGGAGTTTGGCGACAAGACTGAAATTGGTGAGCGAGGAATCAATCTCAGTGGTGGTCAGAAGCAACGGATACAGTTGGCTAGAGCTGTGTATCAAGATTGTGATATCTATTTTCTTGATGATATATTTAGCGCTGTTGATGCTCAAACTGGATCCGAAATCTTCAAGGTACAAAAATAATACAAAGTCAAGTTCTATATGATCCCTTTACCAGCTGGAAGACATGTATTGTATTTTCTTAGTTATGATTACATGTTGGTAAAATTGAATTTTTAAGAATGATTGTTGTTTGCAATATCTTGCAGGAATGTGTGAGGGGAATCCTTAAAGACAAAACTATTTTACTAGTAACCCACCAAGTGGACTTCTTACAATATGCAGATCTCATAATGGTGACTTGTTCCTCCTCTAGTGTATTTTGTTAACGCAAAATTAGCTAGGGATTTCTAAATGCTGATTAGTTTTTGTTTGTCTAACTAGCTGATGCGAGATGGGATGATTGTACAATCTGGGAAGTACGAAAACCTTCTGAAATCTGGCATGGATTTTGGAGCTCTTGTAGCTGCTCATGAAAACTCCATGATGTCAGTAAATATGAACAACTCCACAACCGGAGAGTATACTCAACAAACACAGCAGAGTTCTGAAAATTCTTTGATCCAAGGAAAACCAAACGGGGATAGCATTCATTCGGATCCTGAAGATGGATATTCTGAATTCTCTTCTGAAGATGACTACTCAAAGCTCATTGAAGAAGAAGAAAAAGAAACTGGTCATATTACCTGGGGACTGTATACGCAGTACTGCACCAAAGCATATGGATGGTGGGGAGTAGTTATCATGGTACTAGTTACTCTTATGTGGCAGTCATCTCTAACGGGCAGCGACTATTGGCTGGCATATGAAACCTCTCCTGGTCGTTCTTTTACCCCTTTGATATTTATTAGTCTATATTGGGTCATTATAGGGGTTTCTTGTCTATGTATTCTGGCTAGGGCATACTTTGTTTCACATTTAGGTCTTGCAATTGCACAACGTTTCTTCAACGAAATGCTCCAAAGCATTTTGCACGCCCCAATGTCTTTCTTTGATACCACTCCTTCCGGAAGAATCTTAACTCGAGTAAGTTTAAGGTAATCTGCCATATTATGTATTTAAAAACTGTACTAAGAATTTAATTCTGGTTTCAGGCATCACATGATCAAGAAAATGTTGATGTCTACATTCCGTTGTTCTTTGGCTTCACAGTTATGATGTACTTTACCCTGTTCAGTGTTGTCCTCGTTACTTGTGTCTTCTCTTGGCCAACTGTATTCCTCTTGATTCCACTGTTTTGGCTAAATATCTGGTACAAGGTAAGAAGTGAGAACAATGCTGATTTTTTTTACTACATACAAGTTCTCCCACTTCAACATGCATCTGATCTCAGTTCCATGCTGCGATCACCCTATGCATGAACCATTCTTTATCCTTCTTGTTTGCAGGGTTACTACCTTGCATCATCTCGCGAACTGACTCGGTTGGATTCTGTTACAGAAGCACCAATTATCCATAATTTCTCAGAAACAATATCTGGTGCGATGACAATTCGTTGCTTTAGGAAACAGGGAATGTTTTGTCAGGGAAATATTGACAGGGTAAATGCAAATTTGAGAATGGATTTCCATAACATTGGGGCTGCTGGATGGATGGGCTTCCGGTTGGAATTGCTTGGAAGTTTGATATTTTGCATTGCAACATTGTTCGTGATCATTTCACCAAGTGCTATAATAAAACCAGGTATGTCGCCTTTAGAACTAAGAAGTCTCAGCTCGCCAGAAGCTTCAGAATTTTTCAGTGCTCGAAATGTTTGTTAATGGTTTCCACATTTGTTGGGGTTGTAGAACTTGTTGGCATGTTTCTTTCCTATGGGCTTCCCCTCAATTCAGTTCTGTTTTGGACCACCTACATGGCTTGTTTTCTTGAGAATCGGATGGTTTCTGTCGAGAGAATAAAGCAGTTCACTGATACTCCATCAGAAGCACCATGGTGGATCATGAATTTCATTCCGGACCCTAATTGGCCCAGCCATGGCAACATAGAGCTGGAGGACTTGCAGGCAAGTAGTGACCTTTCGTTTCTTATTTGATTTTTCCAAACTTCCCACCACTATTTCTTCAGTTTAGAGCAAATTAAAAGGTAATGGGATGGTGAACTTTGGTATGCAGGTTAGGTACAGACCGAATACACCCCTGGTTCTGAAAGGAATAACCCTCACAATTCTTGGAGGTGAAAAGGTTGGCATTGTGGGGCGCACAGGAAGTGGGAAGTCAACTCTCATTCAAGCGTTCTTCAGGCTTGTCGAGCCTTCAGATGGGACAATAACCATTGATGGCATTGACATCACCAAGCTAGGCCTCCATGATCTCAGGTCCCGTTTGGGAATCATTCCACAAGAACCTGTCCTCTTTGAAGGGACAGTGAGAAGCAACCTCGATCCAATTGGATTGTATTCGGATGAAGAGATATGGCAGAGCCTCTACCGTTGTCAGCTTAAAGATGTGGTGACTGCTAAGCCTGAAAAACTCGACGCTTTAGGTATTTTTTAAAGAAGTCATGGAACTCTGTTTACACCATTCAACAAGTTTGAATCTAGCTTTGTGGTTAACAGTTAAGATTATTGGTCAGCACTTTCACTTGTCTCTGTTACAAAAAAGAAAAAATTATACATCTACGAAGCTTCATCTTTTTTGCATACAGTGGCTAATGGTGGAGACAACTGGAGCGTCGGACAAAGGCAACTTCTTTGCTTGGGTCGACTTCTGCTGAAGCACCATTGTAAGGTCATATTCATGGACGAAGCCACGGCTTCAGTTGATTCCCAGACCGATGCTGTGATTCAGAGGATCATTAGGGAGGATTTTACAGCCTGCACTATCATTAGCATTGCTCACAGGATACCGACAGTCATGGACTGCAACCGGGTGTTGGTTATGGATGATGGTATATGAATATGTATCTTGTTTAGACTTCTCCATTTCTGGGCTACATTAGCAGGGCATTCCTGTTTGAGCTTAAGAAGAATTTGGAGTTTTCTCTTGTTTTGTTGAACACACAGGGCTGGCAGTGGAATATGATGAACCAGCTGCATTGCTTGAAAGACCGTCGCTGTTTAAGGCACTGGTCCAGGAGTATACAAGGCGGTCGACAGGGTTTTGATTGGTAATTAACTCTAGTTATATAGGTAGGTTCAACGGCTACCTATCCTTAGAGAATTCAGTTCCACAAACCCCGTTGTTACTCCATGGAAGGGATGTAGGTAGATAGATCCATCAACGCCTTTGTTTTGTTGACTCCATTTGAGAAGAAATTTTTGTCCATGTTTGTTAAGAACCTTTAATGTTTGTTCTAACTTTTGCCTTCACATGTTTGATTTCAGTCATAGTATGTCTAAAGTAATTGCAGATAGAACAACCTATTATGGTCTACTAAACTACATGCATTTATATTTCCAGGAAATTTGCGTACCGCAAATTACCACTCTTTACCATCTTCATTTTTAACTCAAAGTTTGAAATTATTCACAGAAGAAACAAATTCGTCTTGATCTACAAAAAAAATTTCCATGCACAAAGCCATATTTATTCACCCGACTTCCATATATTTTCGACTCTCCGTAATTCAGTCTATTGCTGCCACCAGTTAATGTCGCAATTTATCATAAATGACCATTAATAGTGTGTGATGCTGTCACAATTTAGAATTTCCTCTAATTCGATTGTCGTTCACCGTATTATTCAGTGCGGCTATCCAAAATCGCACCATTTCCCAGCCCCAAATATTTCCACTTTTCAATTTAATAATAAGAAGAGCTAACGGGGTATGCATGGGTTCTAAGGGAGCTTGCTGTGCCCCAAGCCAGTTTCCTCAGGCAATGAAGGACCATGTGGCCGCCTTGTAGAGGGCCCAGAGGTCTTGAGAGCGCCTACCAGCATGTTCGAGGTTTTTTTGGTTAGTAGAAATATTTTCTTAAGTTTATGCTTACACTTTCTCATGTGATTTTACTTATGCTTCTTTCTTTCAGGTTTGAAGGATTTGGCCGATGCTAATAGGACAAAGAAGAAGAAGAAGGTAGTGAAGACCGTGAAGGCTGGTGCACCTTCTTCCTCGGCTGCGATTGCAGGAAAAACTTTGCCCATGGTCTCGTCTTCGCAGGCTCAGTTGACCGCGGATCTGTCTGGCACAATGGTTGTGGCATCGATTCCTCTGACGCGGGGTGCTGGAAAGAGTTCTCTAGAGCAGGACGCTCCAGTCGCCAAGCGTGCCAAGGCAAATACCTCTTATGCGAAGGCGGGGATCAACGTGGCAAGGCCGCGGAGCAGCCTGACTAGTCAGATTCCATAGTCGTATCTCCCCTGGCCTCCACCGACACTAAGGCCGCCAAACTAGAATTCCACACCGTGAGCGACCAACTCATCATGCCCTCGGAATACACCTCCACTTCTCGTGGGTGCAACAAGCGTCTTGCTGGGATTGCCACTCAGTTATTTTTTGCGGTTAGTACTTGCGTACTTTGGATTATTTCTTTTGTATGCTATGACTTGACTCGTCAAACATGACTTGACTCGTCAAACATTTGCTTTCAGACTCAAATTGGGTTCTCGCAACTCATTATGTTGAATGACCGCTTGTCCAAGACAGTGGATGAGAATGAGCTCGAGATCACCAAGCTTGGAAAAAGTGCGAGTGAAGGGTGTGTTGCATTGATGGAAGAAGTGCGTTCGGAGGTGGCTGCGGCTTTGAGGAGCAATTAGCCAAGAAGGAGGATGAGCTACTTGCGGAGAAAGAATCACTCAAGGCGGTAATCATAGAGCGGGATAGGCTTCAAGAGAAGATCCAGCAATCTAGTGAGATTGAGAAGGCCTTGCTGGAGGAGCAAGAAATGCTTCACAAGGAGGTGGTCGCCCTCAAACTCGATAAGGCGACCATGTTGGAGAACTGTGAGTCAGATTTGGCCGCTGCCCGAACCAAGGATGGTCCTGCCTTCTTGGAGTCGGAGGAGTTCATTGCACTTGACAAGAAAAAGTACAAGAACATTGTCGGCAATATGATGGCCGCCATTCGCCATTTATTTCATCGTGAACACCTAATGCGGTTTGTATAACAAACAGAATCTGGGATGCGATTGGTGGCTGACCGATGCAGATGTGAATTCTGAAGCCGACGAGGAGGAAGATGAAGAAGATGAAGAGGAGGCATCCAAGGGTGAAGAAAGAGATGGGAACGGGAGTGAGAGCTCACAAAGTGTCTGAGGTCGTCCTTGACCTTTCACTGGTGTCCCATTATTTTGCGATGGCCCTTCTAGCGGTCTTTGTTTGAATGTAAACAATTGTAACTTTCTTGTCTTTTGTAGGAGTGGTGGACACTCACTACGTGTTTGTGTTGACAATTTTGCTTGTTTGTTGAGGGTCAGCGGCGAAGCCAGGATTATGATTCCCGCGGGGGGGGGGGGGGGGGGGGGGGGGCAAAAATTAAAAAATATATGTATTTCGTTATTGCATAAGTTTGTTAAGACATTGCTAAGATAAATTTTCTAAATATTTTAATTGGATGGAACTGAAAATTATTATTTGTTTTGGAACCAATTTTCAAAATTTTATAGTTCAAAATGAACGATTACTAATAATCTATATATTAACCAAATAGAAAGAAGATAAATATATATATATACACAAATTAAATATTAGATTTGAGTAATAATTTTAGAAAGGGGAACATTTTGAAGCATTAAAATATTAGTCATTTTTACGTTATCGTTAATAAATTTGTAACTCTTTTCTTAGTTAAAACACTAAAATTTTACAATGTTGATCTTCATGTGTCTCTTCTAAGTCAGTATCATGTTGTCAAGTCAATATTACTAACAAAATTGCTAACTGAAAGTTAACATTTGGCTAATTCATAAAATTTTGATAGGTTTGAATAATATAAAAAGAATCTGACAAGGATTTGGATAAAAATAGATGTTACGCTTATAAATACTAAAACCAAACTTGATGTTATTGAAACTTAAACACTCCATTGGTGTATAAGGAGAATCGAACCTGTCCCCTTTTTGTTAAAAGTATAAGGAGAATCGAACCTGTCCCCTTTCTGTTAAAAGAAAAGGGTGCTTGCCATTGAACTACACCACTATTTTGTGTCACCTACGTCTACACAGTCATTTTATAAATTCCTGAGGGGGCCATGGCCCCCCCAGCTCATGGGCTGGCTTCGCCCCTGGTGAGGGTTGTTGGCATTTGTAGACTATGTAGTCTTTGTGCTCTATTTATTTTGCGCGTGACCGCTTTGGTGCGAGCACTAGGCGACCCTACCCTAGGCGATTGTTTGCCAGGTAACAATTATAATGTTTAGGATTGAAGCACGAGTTCATTATATTGGCATATTCCCTTCAAGTATTTCATGCTTTTGGAAAGCGAAAAAGAAGTACTATGCGTGTTTGGCCGAATATGTGAGTGTATTACTTGGGCAAAAGGGGTTACTTTGGATCGACCAATACACATTTACAAAAGTGGTGGGTTTGATACCCTAACCGTTGCGATTCTATCTGCTTCCTACATGATTTCTCTAAACGCCTTCCGCATAGTACCTTCTTAAATGCATGACATTCCATGTTTTGGAGAATGAGACTCGCTCCATGGTAGCGAGACAAAAGGTGTTGGGACCTACTTTTTTGCCTATGAGGAAAGGTCCTTCCCAAGTCGCGGCCAACTTGTCGTGCTCGTCTTTCTTTTGGAAATCCTGCTTGAGGACCATGTCTCCCTCTTCCAGGGAGTGCGACTTCACCTTCTTGTTGTAGGTGATTGCGACTTTGGCTTTCTCTTGGAGGATTCGTGCCATGGATGCCTCACACCGTGCTTTCAACATGTCTAACTGTGCCAACAACAACTGGTGATTGTTTTCTGGTTGATATGCTTGGACGCGAAGAGACGGTAGATTCATCTCTTCTGGGGCAACCGCTTCAGAGCCATATGTGAGGGAGAAGGAAGTCTCGCCTGTGGCGGTCTTGTATGTTGTGCAGTGCGCCCATAAGACATGTAAGAGCTCGATCATCCATGCCCCTTTCGCGTCGTTGAGGTGCTTCTTCAGTCCTCGTAGGATCAGCTTGTTGGATGCTTCAGCTTGGTCATTGGTTTGCGGGTATGCCACTGAAGACATGTTGCACGTAATGCGGTTCCTAGAACAAAATTTTTAAATGGCCTACAATCAAATTGGGTTCCATGATCCGTGATGATTGAGTGTGGGATGCCGAACTGGATCATGTTGTTGTTGAACACAAACTTCTAGACCCTTGCACTTGTTATTGTTTCCAACGGCTCTGCCTCGATCCACTTTGTGAAGTAGTCAACCGCCACGACTAAGTACCTTTTCCCAAAGGGAGCTGGGGGGAATGGTCCCAAGAGGTCTAACCCCCATCGAGCGAACGACCACGGTCCTATCACGCTTTGAAACTCTAAGGTGAGCAGGTGATGTTTCGTGGCGTGGATTTGGATGGCATGACACTTTTGGACGACCTCAAGGGCGTCTTTCTTGATTGTAGGCCAGTAGTAGCCTTGTAGGAGAATGGTTCGCTCGAGGGGTCTGGATCCCGCATGGGTTGTCCGGGTACCTTTGTGTATCTCCTTGAGCGTCCATTGTGATTCTTCTGGCCCTAGGCACTTTAGGTAGGTTCCCGAGAATGACTATTTGCATAGCTGCCCTGCCACCATGACGTATCGAGCGACTCTCATTCTTAATGCTTTCCTTTCCCCCGGGTGATGCGAAGCGATGTCTTGCTCCAAGTATTGGATAAGGGGTACCCGCCAGTCTTCGATTTCATCGATTTCCATCACTTCTTCTTGAGGGAGACCTCCTTTGTGATAGTGACCTGTTGGTCGCCTTCGAAGTCCATGGTGGTTGCCAACTTGGAGAATGAATCCGCATGTTGGTTGTCTTCTCGTCGAACATGCTCGAGAATCCAAGTGTTTAGTTGTGCTAAAGTTCTTCCAGCACTGTTAGCCAACATGGTGAGTGTTTCGTCCTTGATCGAAAACTCTTTGTGCACTTGTTTTACCACCAGGAGTGAGCCAGAGAAGATGTGTACATCAGTCGTGCCTAGATTGGCAATGACCCGAAGCCCATTGATTAAAGCTTCATACTCAGCAACATCGTTGGTTTTGATATCCCTGAATCGGAGTGAGATTTCATGCACCGCTCCCTTTGGCATCTCGATCACGATCCCTGCACCTAAGGCGACTTTTCTTGCAGCCCCCGTCAGTGAGTGAACTGTCACCAAACTCTGTTGCTGCCCTCCGTAGGAGGTCCTTCCAGGGAGAAGCCTTCGGCGATGAAGTCTGCGAGCACTTGCCCTTTGATGGCAGGTCTGGGAGCATATTCGATGCCGTACTCGCTGAGCTCAATAGCCCACTATGTCAGCCTTCCTGAGGCGTCCATGCTTCCCAGGATCCCTTTGAGTGGGAGATTAGACAATACCGCCATGGGATGTTGATATGATTCCCGCAGGATGGAATACCCAGCATAGAAGCCCGCCCAGAATCATGAAATCCCTTACCGGGGAAATAGGGAGAAAGACTGGGGAATTCGTCCAAGGATTTTCCCTGGCTAGGGCAGCACAATACAGGACCGGGTATTTAGATCGGGTTTTGGGTTCTGCCAAGTTTTGTTACCTTTTTAGTTTAGAATTCTTTTCTTTTTTGGTGTTTTTATTAGGTTTATTTTTCATACCTATTTAAAGGGTTGTAAGCCATGAATTTTAAGAGACTATTCAGATTATTCAGACTTTGATAATGGAAAAATCCTTTTTGGTTCATTGAGTTTTTACTAGTGGATTTTGTCCTTGTTTGTTGGTGTATCTCCAGAATTCGAGCGGGCTCTATATCAATCAGGTATTCCCCTTGATTGTGGTCGAGATGCCACCTTGATATTGTTCGAGCCTCTTCCCGATTTGTGTTGAAGTTGCATGATAATTCCGCCCTATCCTTTATTTTCGAGTTGTTGAGAGAAAATTCAGAAAAAAAGCTCTAAAAAAGTGAAAGCTGTGTATTCTGATTCGTGAGCGAGTTCGGATTCCCGGACTCTGCTTACATCAAGTAGTATCAGAGCTCCGTTCAAACTCAGTGGCGATTTGAGGTATTTTATTTTGTTGTTACTGTTCACGAAAAAAGAGAGTTAAATTTTTTTTGTTCATTAGCCACAAAGCTGAATGTGGGTTGAAAAAAATAGATATTTTGTAGTTTGGTTTGTGTATATCTGGTTCAAATTAGTGGCAAGGAGAAGAAGATCACAGGCTATGCTTCAAGACATGATTGATCCAAAGTATGCGGCGGACATGAACGCATTTTTCG